AGGCGGGCGACGGAAGGCCGATGCCTCCGTTGCCCGGCCCTCTACAGAATCCACCCCCCAAACCTCCAGGTATTTCCCTCCTTAGAGCTGGCAACCCTACATTCCCCTCAGTGCCTGTTGGTAGGCAACTAAGCTTGGTCCTGTCACCTACTTTGGCCTTTGGGAGAAAACACATTGGGGCCAATCCTGATAGGGTTGCCAACTCCAGATGGGAAATTCCTGGAGATTTGAGGGATGGAGCCTGAAGAGGGTGAGGTTTGAGGAGGGGTGGGACCTCAGACAGGTACACTGCCATAGACTCCACCCTCCAAACCAGTCAGTCTCACATAGGGAACCATTGTTGCCAATCTCCAGGTGAGGGCTGGAGAGCACTCAGTATTACAACTGCTCTGCAGAAGGGAGGGCAGAAGTCAGCTGAAGTCAAAGGGGCAGATAATGGTAGGTTGGTGGCTAGCTGGGAAGGAGATGGGGTTGCCAACTACATGCTGACAAATTCCTGGGGATTTGAGGGGTGGAGCCTGGAGAGGGTGGGGTTTGCAGAGGGGTGGGACCTCAGACAGGTAGAATGCCATAGACTCCACCCTCCAAACCAGCCATTTTGTCCTGGGTAACAATTGCTGCCAATCTCCAGGTGAGGGCTACAGATTACTCACAATTACAACTGCTCTTCAGGTAGCAGAGATCAGTTCCTCTGGAGAAAACAGTGGACTCTGTCATTATACCCTGCTGAGGTCACCACAGCAAATTGACACTGTTTGCCCAAAGCCAGAGCACTGCCCCAGAGCCTCTTTCTAGATCCCGTTGTATTGCTTTCACAACGGGCTTTACTGCTAGTCTTATATAATAAACAGTGAAGAGCAAATAAATATCCAACCGCCATCTGAAAACAAAAGACAACGGTATGTACCTTTAGCAATCTCTGCTCCAGCCAGCCTTGCTCGTATTAAACCATGCCTTTCTTTGAGATGAAGGACACGAACCTTGGGAAACTTCGACATGTATTGGTCTAACTTATCCTTGAGGTAAGCTAGATCGACAAAAAAAAGAAACAGATAAAGGGACCATAAGGATTTACTTCTCAAACTCTTACTGTGCAATCCTAAACAGACTTTATAGAAAGTGCTGTCAAGTTGCAGTTGACTTATGGTGATGCCGAAAGGTTTTCAAGGCAAGAGACAAACAACCCTGCCTCTGCAGAGCAACTCTGGGCTTACTTCGTGGGTTACCATCCAAATACAAACGAGAGCCAACCCTGCCTAGTTTCCAAGATCTGACTAGACTTGACTAGCCTGGTTCATCCATTTCAGAAGAAGAGATTGGATTTATACCCCGCCCTTCACTACCCAAAGGTGTCTCAGAGCGGCTTACAAACTCCTTTCCCTTCCCCTCCCCACAACAGACATCCTGTGAGGTAGGTGGGGCTGAGAGAGCTCTTGACAGAAACTGCTCTTTTTCAAGAACAGCTCTTATCAGGGGTCATTTCGTAGAAAAAGAAGTGCAGGAGCTCATTAGCATAACTCATTAGCATGAGTTAGTTGCATTTGCCACACCCCCTAACATCACCGGAAGTGTGTCAGAAGGCAACACCCGCCGCTCAGGCTCCACTGGTCTGTTTTGGATTGCTAGCTATTTTTTTTTTGGGGGGGGCGGGAATGTGCAGATCTGTCCTCGCAGAGGAGGGAGAGCTTGTACCTGAATAAACCTTGGTCTTAAAGGTGCCACTGGACTGTTTTGGGCTGGGAGGCCAGGAGGAGCTCTGCAACTCACCTGGCTGCTTCTTGCTCTGACTGAGGGCTGCTGGGAGCAGGGAGCGGGGCTTGTTGCATGTGCCCGCCCCCTGGGCTCTTTACTGCTGGAGCTCTGCTCCTGTGCGCTCCAGCAGGAAATGACCCCTGGCTCTTATCAGAACTATGGCTTGCCCAAGGTCATCCAGCCAGGTGCAAGTGGAGGAGTGGGGAATCAAACCCGGTTCTCACAGATTACAGTCCGTGCACTTAACCTGTACACCAAACTGGCTCTCTTAACATCTTAACATATTTAGTGTCATTTTTTAATTTATACAGTTATACAATTCTGTATATGATTAAATGGGATAATATGACGGGTCTAGAGATAACATGACATATAAACATCCATCGGTACATATAAAAACCAGTTCATATTCTTATGCGGGAAAATACTTTGACACACTACAGATTAACACCCCAGAGGGGCCAAAACCTGCCCAACCCATGAAGTGGTGGTAAAGGGATGCAGGCACATATACTAAATGGGATAATATGACGGGTCTAGAGATAACATGACATATAAACATCCATCGGTACATATAAAAACCAGTTCATATTCTTATGCGGGAAAATACTTTGACACACTACAGATTAACACCCCAGAGGGGCCAAAACCTGCCCAACCCATGAAGTGGTGGTAAAGGGATGCAGGCACATATACTGCTCATTTTAATGACAAAAGTTTATCTAATATATATACAGTAGCCAATTCCCAACATTCTGTCTCTGTCATGCTCTGTGTATGTTGAAAAAACATAAGCAAGCATTTACTTAAGCCGCAGCTTAATTGTGATGCAAAAAGGAGCTCAGCCGACATATTTCCGTGAGCTGCACAATATTTGTGAAAGAGCCGCATGTGGCTCACGTGCCATGGTTCAGCCATCCCCTATCTAGAACATCCCAGTAAAATGCAACCCCCCTTTCCCTGATGGCAATTGTGAGGTCTACAGAGCCTGGTTCTTAGTAAAGGTAGAAGGGATGAGAAGGATACTGCTGTGGCCCACAGGCTAGCGTTACATTTCCTAACAGGATGTGGGGAAAATGGCAGATGCACAGTAACAGACTATCTGTCTCTCCTCCCCAACCCAGAGATCCTCCTTTATAATCACTGTTGGCACACTCTCTATTCTGACACACAGGGTGGGCATTTCTTTCTGCAGTCTGCACATGATCAGGGCACCTCTTTAATATTACATGCATGTTTGAAGGCAATGCAAAGAACCTCTGGATCAAAGCCAGCCCTGCTCAGACCCCAAATGGGTTCCCCGGAACCTCACTTAAGTATAATATATTTCAATTGTTAAACATGCAATTGATGGACTCTTCTTCCTCAAATTTTACCTAGAAGTTGACATGTTTAATAGCCTGGTGTTAGCTTCTAAAAGAGAAATACTCAATAAACGATAATATTTAAAGCAATATCCTTTTGCATATGCAAGTGTGACCAGCATGAATGCATGTTTGTTTGTTTACATCTACAGAGGGGTGCATGAAGTGGAGGGGGGGGCACATGCTCAGAAAGAAAAACACTTTTCTTTAAGACTGTGCCACATGTTGAAGGGCACCTGTCCATTCATCACTTGTTAAATGCAAAATCAAGAGCTCAATATAAATATAACACTCCAAGGTAGGGTTACCAATATTCCCTTTTGGTGTCTGTCCTTTTTGGGGCTTTAAAAAAAACGGATGAAAATGTCCTCTTTTTGGATTGTAAGGTTAGGAATATTCCTAGTTAGTAGCAGTTATCGCAGCTTAAATACTAAGAGTACTTAAACTGAGATTTGTTTGAAATAGACAGTCGGGAAATATGTCTTCCTTTTTTTTGCTTTTCAAAATACTCCAAGGAGAGCTCTCAGACTGTCTTACATTATCACGAAGGCAGGGACTTCCAGACAGTCGAGTCAGAGCACCTAACACGCCCCACTCCCCTACACAGCAGCCAGTGCTCCCGCTAAGCTGAGTTAGTGTGAGCTAGCTCACAGTTTTTTAGCCTCCGGCTCACACGTTTTTGCTTTAGCTCAGGAAGGGATGGCTCCAGAGCAAACTAATTTATCCAGCGGCTAAGTCGCTCGCTCACAACTTTAATGTCAGTCGCTCACAAAGTAGAACTTTTGCTCATAAGACTCCACAGCGTAGAGGGAGCATTGCACAGCACCCAAGAAACGGGCTCTCGCCTGCCTTTTACCCAGTCGCTACCATAAACTTCCCTCGAGCGCTTCAGACTCCATTTGAAAGCAGCCGCCTCTGCCGCGCTTCCTTCTTACATCCGGCAAACCGTATCATGATTCCGCCTCAAGGAAGCCCGGCTTAAAAGGGCTGTGCGCGCCAGTGGGCCCACTTTCCTTCCCCCAGACACTTCTCCCCGCCTTCCTCAGCAGGCTCTTTTGCAGCGCCTCTTTAAGGAGAAAACGTCGGGAGGATGGCGGCCGCCAGGAGAGACTGCGAGCCGGGTTTACGCATGCGTGCTTGGACTCGGTGGGCTTTCCCGCCTGCTTTCGGAAGATCGGCTGGGCTGGCGGAGAACGAACTGTCACGGAGGTAAGAGAAAGGAAGAGGGGAAAAGAGAACGCCGCTTCGCTATCCCTCCGGTCCCCGCGCCGCTCCCCCCCCCCTTTAGCTACGCTGACTCCGCCCCCTGGCCATTACCTGTCCAAGGGCCACCACCTCTTCACGCGGGGAGGGGGCGGCCTCCCTCCCTCCCTCAGGTATCCTGTGGCGCTTCGGTCCTCACGTCCGCTCCCGCGAGATATTCGGTGGGCGCTTGTGGTTTGGGTTAGGTGGGCTTGGATCGTGGCAAGCGAGCTGCACAGGGTGTGGAGGGAAGGTGGGGGTGGTGATGGCGCCGCATTGGGACCCATTCTTGTCCCATGTTAGGTAGCATTCTTTTAAGGGGGAGAGAGCATAAATGTTCCTGTCCTCTTTGACTGA